ATAAAGTGTCGGTATTTGAGCGGGGGTTCCGGCGATTTGGCTTGGGGCCAGCTGTTATATTGCTGGCCAGAAGAGCGCTAAAAGCCCCCTTTATTTTGGCTTATTGCGTTTTAATAAAGGCACTTAGATTTTTCGGGGTCGCTTGTTCTTTTTGTTTTTCTACTAAGCGAATTTTAAATGCAATCATAATGTTAAAATACTAATATATTTTACGTTTACGTAAATATTATAATAATAAATCCATTTAATTGAGTACATTTTAATTAAATGGATTAGCCTATCTTGACTAAATGCCTACTCTACGCATGATCAAGAACAAGACATTTCAACTTGCTATTTCGTTTTTTATAGAAATAGTAGAGGAACGTCAAGCAATTTTACGTTAATTGTTTAGGGTGTTGGAGCCATTATTTATATTGTCAAGAATGTTCTATCCTCTCTCTCTCTCTCTCTGTGAATCTCTCTATTATAGGCATACAGTAAAAATAATCAATTCATTTCAAATTTTATAAAATTTATATATATATATATATATATATATATATATATATATATATATATATATATAAATTAATATGCTTATCCATGTGATTTTTTTTCAGAAAAACAAAACATGTTTTATGTCTTTACACAGATACAAATTAAAGATAGGCACCATTACAAATTATTATGCACTTTATTTTGTTCTGTCAAATATTCGTAAGAACTTTTATGTATATAATATATATATATATATATATATATATATATATATATATATATATATATATATATATATAATTGACTAGTAATTGTGTGTGTGATTAGTATTATATGTGTGTATGGTCACTATACGGCCACCACATTTAGTCACACTGTCATCACGTCAGTATAAGTACTTCGACGTATTTTCTCGTCGTATTTTGACCGGCCCGTTTTATTACATTGGGAAATTCGCCAAGGACGACTATGAAGTACAGCAGAAACCGTATAAATATAAATAAGTACTTTGTATTCCGTTCAGAATAAACAAGTTGGATAAGATTATGTTGTTAATATCGACATTTATGGGAGTTGTGAGCTTATGTTTTTTTACAGAATCTTGAAGCACATGGGACATTCTTGTTCCTTTTTCCTTTACCATTAACTATTTAGCAAGCAGTTTCAACTAAAGCAAACTGATAAGTTGAAAGTATAGATTTTAGAAATAAAATGTAAATTTTATTAATAAATGTATTTTTTTTATTAAAATTTTCCAAACTATTGTAAGTTCCCTAGGTATATCAAATTGTAGGATAATGTCAATACTACCCAATTTGTAGATTTTTTTATAGAACTTAGAATGGCAAACAAGCTGACAGCCCACCTGATGGAAAGTGGTAACCGTCGCCTATAGACATGAGCAGTACCATGGACATAACATAGGTTGATGGATTGTGTTAAGTTGACACCTATTATAAGACATATGAGTATCAAAGACAAAACATCATACAAAACGCTTAGTATCTATCTGTTGAAGTAGTTTAACTTGGTATACAGCAGTAAAAGAGTTCGGATATATTCGTATATAAAGCCTATTTGCCCTCTCCAATAGTACAGCAGTAGACGGCATAATGGCTTATAGAACTTAAACACGAAGGATCTGAACATCTGTCGGCAGAATTATTTTTAATTTATGTGAAAAAGTTTTTTATTGGCAAGTTTTTATGGTTGACCCATGCAGGATATGCTTTGTTAGCATAGCAAAGAAGTCGTAAATTGTATCAGTGTATTTTATTGTAGTCAAGAATGATATGAGTTGCTTCAAGGATTACTGCCAATTCTTGTTTGTAAGATTTATACGAGAATTAGGAATAATACGAAATGCCAACTTGTAAAATATAAGTCAAAAAGTAATATATTTTCGGAAAATATAATTGCTTATTCTCTATAACTAAAAGTTCATAGTATCTAGATAGACAATATAATTATTATACCTTTACTAGCTTTCATCCGTGACTTCATCCGTGTAACCGGATTGTCTATTGATCGGAATAAAAAGTAGAAAAAAAAATATCTTTCTTTGTCCCATATAGTACGTGATTGCTTAAGTTGGTAACAAACAAACTCACTTTGACATTTATAATATTGGTAAGAATTAAAATAAATATAAGATAAATGCATAATTAAGGTTACATTGCAACATGCATATCCACATTAACTCTTGGAAATGAAGAGAATAATAAAAGACAGAGAGAGAGAGAGAGAGAGAAGTATTTTGTTTTCAACTTAACATAAATTTAGTCAGTTATTTAAGTTATTAAATTTTTTACGTAAAATAATATTAAATTTATAATGAGGAACTCTTACTTTTTTATATCATTTACTCAGTTCAAACTCCTAAGTAAACGAAAATATACAGAATTATTAATATAATTTTTTAAACTTTCTTTTAGGTATAATAATAATTACAGTTAAGAACAAACTTTCTAAAAATAATATTGTAAGAGAAATTTTCAATCATCGGAGTTTGAGATATTGCAACGGAATGTCGACCTTAAAGTATTGGAAATTATAATTGTATTGTAACTGAAGATGTTAATTTGTACCTTAGATCCCGAAAGACAGTTTGTTGATTTAATCTTTGGACCCTTTTACCTGAACCCATTAATCTTTCGCTTTCTTGTAACGAGTTTCCGATTCAAGAATATTTTAATTTTACCAAATTGTTTTCTGAAGATCTATTGTTTGGCAGGCGACTCATTTTTTCCTTATTTTAAATGAGTTGAAAATGAAAAATGCATCTACAATATTGTTATTATACACACAGCAACATCAAACTTTTGATAATATAATATATCCATAGTTAAAGGACGAAAAGGGGTAGAAGTGTAAGTACATACATATGTATATACATTGTATAGGTTGCAATAATTCATATTATGTATAGTAGAGTGAAAGTTTAGTTTAATCTGAGCCATAATGTTTTTATAGTAATAAAAAGTTACTTTATAATTGTTAGGTATGTAAGTTGATTACATATTAGTACCTATTTTGTAAGGTAGGTTTTATTTCCCTCCCAAATAATGTGATTCGTACCAGACGTGTCTTTTATATTAATAATGTTTGATTGATTTTGAAATAAATTGAATGTATTGATAAATTAAACTAATATTACGTAGAGGACATATACATCATCTTAGAAAGCTACATTATCAGAGAGATATACATTAACATAGGCATTATTCCATTAAAAAATAGATTACTTCTATCTATCCACCTGTGCAAAGCTGGGGCGGGTCGTTAGTAAAATATATAAGAAAACTTATATCGAAAGAATGTAAGCGAAGCCATAGGAAAAAGCTAGTCTAGTATATATATACAATACCTACGAGCTTATCATGTTTCTGTATATATTCATTACATTTAGTACTTTAAATCCTTGGATTAATCGATTTCGCTGGAGGGTTAGTGTCTCAAGTTACGTAAACCATATTCTGAAACAATTTGTACTTTGAAAAGCGATATTGCCACAGCAATCGGTAACTGAGCACGGGAATCCATAATAACCTTCTAATGTTACATTTGAGATTTGTTTATAATTCAATTAATTACTCGAAGCTGTGTTTATTTTAAGTGATACGTAATATGAGTACCTAATTAAGTAGTGGTAGTTGATCAACCTAATTTACTTTATTACGTATAATATAAATAGCGATTCTGTTTAAACAGAGAACAGGAAGCGATAACAACAATGTGTAATTTGTCTATATACATGCACAATGGGAATTTAACGAACTTACTGTGTTTGTCGTTTCCGACAATTGCTTCGACTTCATCCGGAAGTCTTCTTCGGGGGCGTATGGCGATTTGCGCCACAGCGTCTCGCTTCGCACTCGTTAATGTAATTTATCACATGTAAAAATATTTTCAATTTTGTTGTAAAAAAACGGTTATTACACAAAAAAAAAAGTGATAACAAATATAACACGAGAATAAATACTAACCAATTCAAAAAGAAATATAATATAACCAGAGAGACTTAGTACAAAAGTCGATTGCTTGGGTACCTCTGTCCCATTCGTGTTTCTACCGTGAAGCAGTTGTGTTTGCATGGCAGTGTTTCGGTTTGAAGGGTAGGATATGGCGTGAATTTACAGGCAGGAATAACATCTGAGTTCTCAGGAATGGCAAGGCATGGGGAGTATCATGGGCGTAACAGTATACTCTGTTATGTCCATGGTACTGCTTATATCTATAGACGACGGTTACCACTTTCCATCAGGTGGGCCTTCAGCTTGTTTACCATTCTAAGTTGTATAAAAAATTAGGAATTTTTCTTTTTTGAAATATTTTAAAAACATTTATGTATTTAAAATTAAATACTTGTAGTATTTGCTGCAATAAATGTCAGTTTATTTAAAAAATATAACTTTAATTAATTTATTTAATACTGCAAGTATTTGTTGCAACAAATCTCAGTTTGTAGGGACACCGTTAAGCGGTGGAAATACGTTTGTCCTTACTTCTGATAATGAGGATGAAGCGATTACAATATTTAAGAAGGTACGTGCACTTACTTGAAGGAATCTCATGCGCCGCACTGCTTTCCACCTTTGACTGGATGCTGTTATAAATTCTTGATTGGTAGGCCTACACAAATCTTTAAATACACAATATTTTATCTGTAATTTGATGATCTCCTAGATCACTGTTCGGTTATGCTCTTGATTCGCGACGGTACGTGATCTCAAGCCGAGTGCAAGGACAAGTTCACTAACTGCCCTCCAACTTAATAATAATGTAATCGCTTCATATCCGCGAGGTGTGGACATTCGATTAAGAATCGAATAATCGATCGATTGAAGCGCCGTTTGGGACGATACATAATTCCGCCCACCAAAATTCGATAGTAATTTTCTTAACAAAGACAAAAACGATACTATAACTTAAGATTGAATACAACGATATGATACATACACTACTTGTTCATAATAATATATAATTAAATAAATAAATATATGATAAACGAGAATAATTTACTAGAATGGTTCATTTGGTAAAGGACATAGCTTTACTAGAGGTCTCTTGATCAAATTGTTCTTGTCCGTTTTTATAGTGGCTACACGAACCTGACCATCTGGTCCAGGATGTAATTCTACAACTCTTCCTATTTGCCAGTGCAGAGGTGGATGATTATCATCCTTGATAATGACCATTGAGTTAAGTTCTAATGGTTTGGAATCTTTCGTCCATTTGGCTCGTAAGGTTAATGTATGTAAATATTCATTCCTCCACCTATTCCAGAAAGAACGTTGAAATGTCTGAATTAACTGCCAACGATCTAGTCTATTGATATTAACGTGAGTTGAATCCGTATCCGGAACGGACGTCAATGGTTCGAGAGTTAAAAAATGCCCTGGCGTTAAAACCTGGAAGTCGTTTGGGTCTGAACTCATTGGATACAAGGGACGCGAATTCATGACCGCTTCGATTTGAGTAAAAAGAGTGGTGAGCTCTTCGAACGTCAATACTTGGTCACCTACAACCCGATATAAAAGTGTTTTTGCCACTCTCACTTGGATCTCCCAGACACCTCCGAAATGCGGTGCAGAGGGTGGATTAAATTTAAAATCAATTCGCTCACTTTTAGATGCAGTTTCGGTGAGAGACACTAGTTGATTGCGAGCACCGATAAAGTTTGTTCCACAATCCGCATGTATTGTCGAACACCTGCCTCTCCGAGCAACAAAACGGCGTAAGGCGGCAATGAATCCATCGGTAGAAAGAGTGGATACTGTTTCCAAATGAACAGCCTTCGTAGCCAAACAGATAAATAAACAAAGATAGGCCTTGTCTATTTTAGCTCCACGATATGGTCCGGTTTTAATGCGAAAAGGGCCAGCGTAGTCAATTCCTACCACAGAAAAAGGTTTTACTTGATTTACGCGATATTTAGGAAGGTCACTCATGAAAGGTTGTAACGGTTTAGGTTGAAGTCGAAAACAATTAAAGCATTGCGATAAACAGCGTCGAATGACCCGTTTAGCCGATATTATCCAAAATTGTTGTAATATTAAGTATTGTGTAGTATTTATACCACAATGACAATTGTTCAAATGAACCGATTGAATTAATTTTGATGTAAACAAATTATTAGATGGTAACAATGCTGGATGTACCTGTTCGTATTCGAGTCCAGAGCGAGAAATCCTACCGCCCACCCTGAGCACCTCCTGGTTATCAATGAATAGATTGAGCTTACGATACGATTTAGACAACGATTGTCTAGAACGAATTTTCTCAATTTCGATAGAAAACGACAAGGATTGAATATATTTTACGAGCATAAGAAGTGATTGGTGTCGCTCATCGCTTGATAACACTGAATCTGTAGTATCAGATTTTCGAATGACTGCATAGGCAATTTTATCAATAATAGCATCTAATGATAGATCGCTATTGAGTAATTCCTCTAAAAAAGGATCGAGATTTGGATTAATCGATGCGGTTTGTTGAATTAATAACGTGGTGTTTCGCCTTATCTCCGAAGATATTATGTTATCATCAATGTCAGTGATAGATGAAGAAGATGATGGCCACTCGGTGTGTGGTTTACGTAACCATGTGGGGCCCGCCCACCATAAAGTATTATCAACAAGTTGTTGAGGAAACTGGCCTCGTGAGCAAATATCTGCGGGGTTGTCATGTGTGGAAACGTGTCGCCATTGATCAATAGGCGCTATACTTTGTATGTGGCTAACTCTGTTCGCAACAAATGTAGTCCACTTTGATGAATGTGCTCGGAGCCATGACAGTACAACAGTCGAGTCACTCCAAAGAGTAATAGAGAAATTGATACGCGGCATGTATGTCTCCTTTACGAACTTTAATAAGTCTACTAATAGCATTGCTGCACATAATTCCAGACGTGGTAAGCTTAGTTTTTTCAAAGGAGCGACGCGAGCTTTGGAACATACAAAATAAGTATGTATACGATCACTATTGACTGTAACACGTAAATAAATGACAGCGCCATAGGCCTTCTCCGAGCTATCGCAAAACCCGTGAAGCTCATACGATATTGCGTGATCAACAGTACAACGACGGGGTACGATTAAATTTTGAATGGATGGTAACTGTTGTACATAATTTGTCCACATACGAACAATATTGTCAGGTGGTGTTTCGTCCCATGCTACGCCAGCTACCCAAAGTTGTTGGATTAAGATTTTGATGTGAATAGTCACTGGAGAAAGAAATCCCAACGGGTCGAAGATGCGACTAACCTCACTCAATATGGATCGCTTGGTACAAACTTTGTTAAGAGGTTGCACGTGAAAGACAAACGAATCACGCAGTGGATCCCATTTAAGACCGAGAACCTTGAGTGTGCAAGATTGTGCATCGATAAAAGATTTAGCTTCTACAAGACAATGCTCTGGTGGAATTTCTTCCAGCAATTCTGGTTTGTTACTAGCCCATTTTCTTAATTCGAAATTGCCAGATTTGAGCAAAGCGATAACCTGCGACTTCAACTCGCGAGCTTGGAACATAGTATTGGTACCAGTAACAATATCATCAACATAAATATCGCATGTGACGGTTTCTTTTGCTAGAGGAAACGAATCCCCTTCATCTCTCGCGAGCTGCTGAATAGTACGACAAGCGAGATAGGGAGCCGAAGAAACACCATAAGTTACGGTGTTTAATCTATATTCAGATACGTGTTGGTCTGAGTTAGACCGCCATAATATCCGCTGGTATTCTCTATGGGCTGGAGCAACAAGAACTTGCCTATACATTTGGCGTATGTCTGCCATGAAAACAATAGCATGTTCCCGAAAATGTAAAAGAACCCTTGTAATATCAGTTTGACACTTCGGACCAACCCATAGAGATTCATTTAAAGAGTTACCCCGATTATCCTTCGCAGATGCGTCGAACACTACGCGAAGCTGTGTTGTAGGACTGTCGGCCGTATAATACAATGATGCGGAATATAGTATTTACCGCGACGATTTTCTGAAACAGGTACTAATGACATGTGACCGCTTTGAATATAGTCTTGCATGAAATTAACGTATTGACATTTTAGGTCAGGATTCCGAGACAGACGCCGTTCAAGTGCATAAAAGCGCCTCTCCGCTATTTCACGAGATCCCATGAAAACAGGTTCACATGAGTTTTTAAACGGTAAATATACCTCATATCGACCAGACTTATCTCGAGTTGTGGTTGCGACATATTCTTTCTCACAAAGAATATCTTCAGGAGTATATGAATTAGCTTGTGATACACTATCGAGTTCCCAAAATTGTTCAACCAATTTCACAAGACGTTCTGATTCAACATTCGATTGCAACGCGGCCAATGATGAACATGATAACAAAGTTTTGCCTAATAATAACCAACCAAACACTGAATTAAATGCTGGTGGCTGCGATGGACCGCCCTTAATGCGTTCGGTAAGGAGCGAATCCGCGAAGACGTCTGCACCAAGTAACAAATCCACAGGGCCGGGTATGGCAAACCCAGGATCAGCTAGATTTAATGATTCGATGTGTGACCACCCAAAAGTGTTTAGTTTCGCAATGGGTTGATCACAACAGATCTTGGGAATGACGTGCATGTCAAGTTCAAATGACACTTCAGTGTTATTTGCCGATAAGCTTCCAACTACACAGCGTACTATACCGCTAGTTGCCGCCGACACGTCACCCAAGCCTTTAATTGAGTAAGAAGAAGAAACTAAATTAAGATTCAAACGATTTACTGCTTCTTCAGTAATAAAATTATTCTGACTGCCAGTGTCAAACAATGCACGAAAAGTTTGAATGTTACCGAGACGGTCCTTTACCGTAACAATCGCTGTTGCTAGCAGCACAGTTGTATTGACACTCGAGTTATGTGTCAATAATGATGCAGTATTGACCGATTTTATTGTGTCCTTATTAACAGAGTATGATGTTTACGCTTACATTTCTGACAGGTAAATACAGAGGCACAAGTTTTTAACTGATGCGAAGATTTCAAACAATTGTAACACCATCTTTTGTCATTGACTATTGCCATGCGTTCGTCAATAGATTTATCGATAAATGATTTGCATGAAGCAATCGAATGAGCCTGGCCACAATATGGACAACCTTTTGTTGAGCTGGCAACACTAGATGATGCACTAGTACCCTTGGATTCATTAGTTGCAACGAGTGTGTGAGAAACATTTACACGCCTTGCATGCATACCGACATGAGTATTCGACGATTCATGATGATTGTAATGCGGTTTATTTGAGTCGGTAAAGTGTGTATCACGACTGTGTGCTTCGCATTTCGAGTGTAAGAAATCTCTAACTATTTTATAAGAAGGTATTTGGATATGTGAATACTTTTCCTCAAACTCACGACGTGTCTTAGTATCAAGTTTCGATAATAGATGATAAATAAGAACAAAATCCCACTCTTGAACGGGTAAATTTACCTGTCATAATATATTTAAGTTCTCATCGATCATGTCTAGTGAGCGACGAAACTCCTTTACGTTATTAATTTTAAATTCCACATTTAAAATTTCACGCCAACAGGTAAACGCTAAATCACGCTTGTCCCTATAACGATTAACTAGTGCGTTATATGCGTCGATATAATATTCACCGGCTACAGGGTAGGCTCGTATCAACGCTAAAGCATCGCCTGAGAGTGACGATCTCAAATAATGAAATTTTTCCAAATTACTTAATGAGGTATTCTCGTTTATTAAAGAATTGAATGTATTTATGTATTTTGTCCAGCATTTAATATTGCCTGAGTACGTGGGAAGAGTGACCTTGGGTAATTTTATATGTGAAGAACTGTTCTGTTCCGGTTCATTCCGTACCTTAGGTTTAGTATATGTACGTTGCAAGGCTAGAACATTAAAATACATATCATCAAAACTCTCACGAACACCCTCATCATCGGACTCTGAATCATCATGTAAATCCAGAATAAGGAGATGTGCATTCTCGAAATCGGTAGAAATTTTCTGTAATTCATTACAGTACGATAAAAATAAATCCAACTTAGTTGCATCTAACTTCGCGTCATTGCCTATTTGCAATGCCTTAGATAAACGATTAAACGCGATAGTACGTTTTCTTCTTAATGATGGCAAATCACGAGTTGTGTATTCTTCATACTTCGATTTACTGCGCTTTGACAGACTAAGTTTACGTTTATTTGTATTAACAGACATCGTGCAAAAACGATCAATTTATAAGTTGTTTACAAATTTAAACAATGAAGAACAAGTCTATAAATAGATCAAAAATATCAAAAAATAAAAAAAATATTAATAATTTGAGGGTAAATGTTAATTTCTATAGTCAACGGAACTTTATGTAGACAGAATTTATTACGAGAATATTTTATCAATAGAATATTTATAATTCCACAACAGATATTAAGTTTATTTATATATATCTATAAGTTTTCAATATTAAATTCACTATAAATATTACTAAAATATGCACTAGTTACGAATGAAATTCCTTTTGATAATAATATTTTACAATAATATAACTTGTAAACGAATAAATTTACAGAATCGATGAAAATATTAATATTAAGTCACTATTAATGTAATAAGAAATTTGTCTGTTTGTTTTGTTCACTAAAGACTTAGAATATTACAGTACTTATCCTATGGTAATATGTATTCAATAACTATTATGAACCGATAAGTAGTTATATAAGCACGAATTAAATGAGATTGCTTATATGATTTCACAAAATTAGTAAATACCTAGACAATAGATGGATGATCATTACGATTTACGTTTAATGTTCGTGTAAGCCGATAAATTATAAAAACACCGATATAAATAAGATTGTTTTTATGATCCTACATAAACATTAAACATCGATACAATGAAAACTAGGAGGAACGAATAAATCACTATAAAATAGTAAAATTAAGCCTACTCAATGCACTGGCAATGGCAAAGTTACAATTCCGCGCGGACTACCCACTTGTTTCAGGAATGTGAATTCCGATTTCTAATTAAGGTTTTAATGATAAAATATGATTTAAAATATAACGAAATTAATAAATATGAGTATTAATTTATATGTAATCGGAATATGTAAAGTCCCAATGCAACGATAATGATCTATACAGCCGATATTTAGATATTACGAGATTTATCTCCCGGGTTTCGGCACCAAAAAGAATGTAGGGACACCGTTAAGCGGTGGAAATACGTTTGTCCTTACTTCTGATAATGAGGATGAAGCGATTACAATATTTAAGAAGGTACGTGCACTTACTTGAAGGAATCTCATGCGCCGCACTGCTTTCCACCTTTGACTGGATGCTGTTATAAATTCTTGATTGGTAGGCCTACACAAATCTTTAAATACACAATATTTTATCTGTAATTTGATGATCTCCTAGATCACTGTTCGGTTATGCTCTTGATTCGCGACGGTACGTGATCTCAAGCCGAGTGCAAGGACAAGTTCACTAACTGCCCTCCAACTTAATAATAATGTAATCGCTTCATATCCGCGAGGTGTGGACATTCGATTAAGAATCGAATAATCGATCGATTGAAGCGCCGTTTGGGACGATACACAGTTAATTAAAAAAAAAACTTAAATAATTTCTTGAATAAAGATAATAATTAATAGACTTTTTTTGTATATATTTTCCATGTCTGACTCTAATAGATTATATTATTATATTCTCCAATTGGTTATTTCTTAAGGTAAACGAGACTATCATAGGAGATGCTGCAAGATACAGCCAGTACAATATGTAGAACATTTTTGCTATCAGCTTTTGCGTTGCAGTTGTATGCAATCTACGATACTACAAACGGATTTTATTAGCATGTAAATTTGCTCATCAATTAGGGTACCGCACGCCTCGTGTTTCGCGTACATTTCATGGGAATTTGCATAATGAAATTGGCCCCGTATGCACCGACCTTACCGGTATTACGAGATCAACCATTTTTGTTTTTACATTTACCCCTTAATTTGGTAGCATTAATTTTATATTTTGTGAAGACTGTTAAAATTTTTATATAATTTGTATTTATACTTTTTTTTTATACTATCATAGTGGAAAACAAGCATACGGCCTATTTGATGATAAATAGGGATACTGTAATCTAAAGATGCTTGTAACACTATCGACCCCTAAGATTTTTTTTACGCTCTTTTTGAAGAACCCCATACTGTAGTCTTTAGGGAAAACCTCGACACGAAGATCCACAATAAGAACGTTCGCGGGAAGAAGCACGTCTGAAACCTTTTTTTTAGTTCTAGAGTCTGAGGATGAATTCCCTGCCGATAGAGGTGCGATTATTAAAGCTGGCTGCAAGCATCATATTGAAGAGTTCTTTAGAATACAATCCGTTATATAGATGATAGAAGGTGCAAAGAGATGCAGTCTCGCCTTGAATTAAGGGGCTCGATTCCAGCTGTTAGCCTAAAATCGTCAAGAATTTTCATAGGACGATCTGAAACTTGAAATGTTTACTAAGTAGATGTATAACATGTGGGTTGGGTACTGACTTTTTGATAAGAAAGGAATTCCTAAAGCTCCTATAGAAACCGAAAACAATGAGAAATGCCATTAAATTCACGGTAATCATCTAATCATAAATTTAATATAAACAGGTACATTATCATGTTTAAAGGTCAAAGTAAATTTATTATAATAATGTAGACAAATTTAATTAGACAATATTAATTAAATTGTACAAGTACTGTGGGTACTATTGTCGGGCTATGCTTACATATCTTTGGTACGTACCTACATGGGAATCGTGTTTCTACCGTGAAGCAGTCGTGTTTGAATGGCTGTGTTTCGGTTTGAAAAGTGGGATATGGCAGTGAATTTACAGGGTACAGAGGAATAACACCCGAGTCCTCAGGAATGGCAGCGCATGGGGGTGTCATGGGCAAAACAGTATACTATATTATATCCATGGTACTGCTCATGTCTATAGCCGACGGTTACCACTTTCCATTAGGTGGCCGTCAGCTTATTTGCCATTCTAAGTGTCATAAAAAATATAATTAATTGTTATTTTTTTACAGACATTAGTTTAGCTTTATTGACAACAAATACTTGTCATTTTTGTTTTGAAATCACTTATTTATTTATACAATACATTTTTACCGTATTTATATTGCCACAACATAAATTACCTTATTGGAGAAACAAAATAAAACGAATGTAAGCGTTTAACGTGTTATCTACGTAATATAAAAGGGTTGTTTAGAGTATAAACCCTTTTAATAGCTGTTAGGGGAGCATGTAAAGGACTTGTGTTAAATTGTTATACCCCTAATTATTTTATTCTTCTGGTGTATATATATATATATATATATATATATATATATATATATATATATATATACACTACACCTTAGACGACCTTACTTCTGTAGACATTTATACAATTTTTTTTATATGTTTGCGCATTCAATTCCTGTACAATGAAAAAAATTTTATTTATTAGTATATATATAATGAACTGGGTGTTTAATAATAATTCTATGTAACTATTCACAAGAAATTATTTATATCTTTCAATTGTCTAATGATACAAGCTCAAGTTTATTTCAGCACAGAATATTCATAAATAAGTTTGGGATTAGATGATGTTTCTTGATATTTGCTGCTGACAAATAATATATTTTACTTAGAACTGCTCTATTAATATATTTTTGCTCTATTTTGCAACAACTTTCTTACATGTAATGTTAGTGTATGGACTATAACTGTACATATAGCTCAATCAGCTTTATTAGTTATATATTATTGTACATTAATATATTTTTTAATTATAATATCCTTTTTTCCACGCACAACCACTCTTTGGAATCAATTTCCAGCAGCGGTATTCCCGAACCGATACGACATCATAACTTCAAGAAAAGAGCATATTCCTTTTTAAAAGGCCGGCAGCACAGCTGCAATGCCGTTGGTGTTGTGGGTGATCATGGGCGGTGGTAGTCACTTACCATTAGGTGAGCCGCATGCTCGTTTGCTCTCTGTTTTGTATAAAATAATACTAGTCTTTACCCGCGCTTTCGTCCGCGTAACTGCCATACGTTTACTGACTAGGATAAAAAGTAGCCTATAATCCTCTTAACCCTATATACCGAACTTCATAATAATTGTTTAAGTCGTTAAGACGCTCTCTTTCACATTTATAATATGAATTAGGGATTATCAGCAGCGTCACAGTGTATGTATCATACAGTTAGTAAAAAATGTAAGTATATGTTAATAAAATTTGAATCATTCATAACTCATTCAAAATTGGTATTTTTAATTGATACAATGTGTGATACAACATTGTTCTACATAGCACTGTTAACGCGCATATTTTTAATTGTTACGATCTAGTAAGTTCCAGTCTTACTTTAAAACGACTTACAACTCATATAACTACATTTTAGCTTAAGTACTCTCTATCTATTAAGTACATCAATTTACGCGAATGAGTTTGTGATTGTGTGTGTGATATAGTATTGGAAATAAATACTATTATTATTTTTACTAATAATATTAGAGAAAGTAAATTTGATTCTTATCATTTGGCGCCATAGCAACCTATTGATCATCATATTAAATTCTGGCATGTGTAGTATTTGGAATGGAAATAGGCAAAATTTATCTTGACCTGATTTCGTCCACGAAATTGTAGGTAAAATTTAAAGTAACTGCGCTACTGCTGATGACAGGTCTTATCTTACAAAAGGGCACATTATAATATAGCCATCAAGAAAGAAAACGCATGACGTATGGAAAGTGAGTTTGTATCTTATTTGGAGCCTTAGCAACCTACTGATCGCTATGTTAAATGTTGGCATGCGTAGGATTTGGAATGGAAATAGGCAATTTTTATCTTGATCATATCCACATGATTACATCTATGTAATAATAACTGAGCTACCGCTGGTGATAATTCTTGTCTTACAAAAGGAAGTATTATAGACACCAAGAAAGGAAACGCAAACAAC